AATAAAACGATTAAAAAACAAAACAAAAAAAGAATAGCATCTAGGATCTTAAAAACGTGTCTTCAAACATGCAGCCATCTAAGGGAGGCATCAACTAAGTCCACATGGAAGAAGCTCACCAGCCTGTGTGATCCAAGGATTATAAATAATAAAGTCCAAATCTGAAGGAGGGAATAATATCAGACCTTAAATTGTGAACACCTCATTTTCAAGCTATGGATGACAGTGGAAGCCCAAAAATCCATTTGCAGGGTCCCCACATGGATCAAACCTCTGGTGAATCCCCTCTGACCATATGCAAGGGATATGAGTAGCTTCGTTATCACACAGAGGGCATTGCAAAGCCGACTACAGCAGATTAGGTTAAGGTGGGGGAATAAGGGGGAAATTGATCACAGTGACCTACATATAATCCCTTCCCAGGGGGGTGGACAACAAAAAAATGGGTAAAGGGAGATATTGGTCAGTGTAAGACCTGAAAAAATAATAATAATTTATAAATTATCAAGAGTTCATGAGGGAGGGCAGAGAGGGAAGAGGGGGGAATGAGAAGCTGATATCAAGGGCTCAGGTAGAAAGAAAATGTTTTGAAAATGATGCTGGCACCAAATGTACAAGTGTGACTGACACAATGTATGTATGCATGGATTGTGGCAAGCATTGTACAAGTCCCCTCAAAAATGATTAAAATAATAATAATAGTAATAAAATGCAACATCTTATCACTTGACCTCACTTTTGACCCATTTTAAAGCTATTTCAGTTATTTAAAAAAAAAAAAAAAGCAAAGGGGAAATCCATGTGAATTAAGCCTCTGGTGAATCCCCTCTGCACATAGCCCAGGGATGTGAACAGCCTTTGCTAGCATGCAGAGTGCGTTAGAAAGTGGATTGTTGCAGATTCTGCTGGGTGAAAGTGTAGCCCCTTATCATTGGATCTCATTTGAAATTTGTTCTAGTTTTTAATATTTTCTGCTTTCTTCTCAATTGAGACTTTGTGTTACACTATTGTTGTTGTCTCTTTCTTTGTTCTGCATGTTTCCCTGTATCGAGATGCAGGATAGGTCGATCTATGGAGACAGGAACTGGATGAATGGTTTCTTGGGGGGAAGGTGGGGGAGGCTGAGGGGAAATGGGGCGCTAGTAACAATGAGTACAGGAAAGAAGGAGATGTTCTAAAATTGAATTGATTGTGGTGATGTGTGTACAACTCTTCTTAATATGATTGAACTACTGAATCGTATGATAGGTGAATTATATGCCAATAAAACGGTTTTTTTAAAAATCCGTCAAAATCCTACAAAAAGCCAGGCTTACTGGTCTGAGAAAAACTAGTCATAAGAAAACAAAACTCACTGCCACTGAGTCACTCCACGTCCTCCCACCGACACTGTAGAACTGCTCAGTGGGCTTGCAAGGTTGTCAATCATTTCTCACTGCATAAGTTCCTTCTTATAGAACCCCCACGTCTCCTTTCACAGTTCAATCATGTTAAGAAGGGTTGTGCGATCATCATCACAAAAACTCATCATTAGCTCTCCATTCTCCCCCACCCTCTCCGGCCATGTGCCTATGCAATCATTGATCCAGTTACTGTCTGTAGACTTACATTTCCTAGATCTCATCATTTCATATACAGAAAATCATACAAAACAAAATCAAGAAACAAACAAAAAGCCTCCCCTTTCCCCCTCCAAGCTGCTGGTAGGTTTGAACTACTGACCGTGTGGTTAGCAGCTCAGCACCACCAGGGCTCCTGGGAGAGACTGGTAGAACCAAAATAATGATGGCCCTTCATGTCTGAAACTGAAGCCACCTCTGTGGCTCAACCTTCGGCCACAGGACAGGCAGGCCTGTCATGTGAACGATGACCCCAGTTTCCCATGTCCTCCTCCCTGCACCCCTCGCCTCTGGCAGATTCCTGCTACAAATAAGTTGTTGTGCAGTCCCGGGATCTCGAGATCTGATCTGCCGGCCTTCATCAGCCCCAAACTTCAACTCAAGACTCAGGCCAAAAATGTGAACTATACAACCATGCCTAGTTCATCAGGTCTCTAATTAGCATCCCTAATTAGATTCAGATACTTTGCTTCCACGTTCTCTGAAGCCTTGCTGTTCCGTTGCCTTTGCAGTTTGCCTCACAGTTGAAGACATTCTCTCAGTGAATGTTTGGTGGGTGACACACTGCACTGCAGAGGACCGCCTTCGACATATGTGTGTGAGAGCCCATAGCTGACGGACGCATGAGTTCACCTGGTAGCATCACCACCACGAGCCCACACCAACCATGACATCAAAGGCATGTGCACCAGTGGCAGAAACTGCTTCCCGGTCAGGATAATGGTCCTGGAGGCCCGGCGGCTCACCAAGGGGATGGTGGTCCCAGCCCACCCAAAGGAGCCTTGGAAGAAAGGTGTGGCAATCTGCCACCCAAAGATCAGCCAATGGAAACTCCACGGAGCCCAGTTCGACTCTGGTACACTTAGGACCTCCACGTACCAAATGGATGTGATGACAATTTGTCACGTTTAAAAAGCAAGTGCCCGAAAAGAAACAACCATCACACTTTTATGGAAACAATGCTTGCAGTTGTGTGATTGTTTTTTTTTTTTCGTAGAGCCACCTCTTGTGCATTAGTTTCCTGTGCAGTCACGCTATGCGCGTTAGAGGTGTGCGCAAGCTATTCCCGTGTGCCGTGATGTGTGAAAACACAGTATGCGCTGAAATGCTTTCGCCAACATAGACACCGACGAATACAAAGGCTTTTTCTTTCCGTTAGTGAATCAAGTACGACTTCCAGAAAACCCTTCTTTATTGTGCAGCCTTGGAATTCTATTGAGTCTTCAAGATACTTTCCATAATTGGGTCCTTGCTTCCACTAGAAGGCGAGGGAGATCAAAGACACCCGGGTACAAAAGAATCCAAGGAGCCCCCTCACACAGTCCTTCAGGATGTGTATCGATTTGATGGCAGACGGGAGAGGGGAGACTCAAACGGCATCCAGACCATCTTCCTTCGATGGCTCCACAGCCCGCCTCTTGGCCCTCTGTCCCCAGGGCACATTGCTCTTAGGCACCAGAGAATTCTGATGTCTGGACCTGAAGGTAAATCATGTTTTCTTTGGGTTTTCCTGTCCTGTGGGGAGGGGGAATCAATAGACAAAAAATAGCTTGGTGGGGAAACTGTTGCAAACTGGTCTGCAGGAATAGGTTTCCCAGAAAAAGAGGGGATCGGGATGGTAAGCCATAAAACCGAGGGATGGTAAGCAGGTAACCAGCCAGGGTCTGAATCTGGCTCATGCCCCACCCATCTTTGGGGCCCACAAGGGCTAAGAATGGTGTCTTACATCTTTACATAGTTGGGAGAAAGTCAAGACAAAAATATTTCGTAAGCATTGAAAAACAGATCAACTTATAGGGTCAATGTCCATCAGGAAATTTGGATCAGATTCCAAGTGCAGCGTCCCTCAGTGAATTTGTGTGCAGACCCAGTCAAGCTCCCTGGGTGACACCTTGTCTGTCTGCCTTCATGCTTCAACGGCTCCGCTGCGTGGTGGCAATGGAATTCGCACGGACCCCGGGCCCAAACTATTTCCTACCCTTGAAGTAGGAAGGGGCTTCACAAAGTTCATGAGGAAACAAAATGCCATTATCTTTACCTACCATTTTCCCATGAACCTTTTGAAGCCTCTCAGAGGCCGTCCATGGCACTGCAGTCCAACACAACCACCATTAGAGTCAACATCTCCTGTCTGACTTTCTGCATATCTGTCACTCCTCCTTCCCTCTGTGAGATGGGTTTGCCAACAACAGGAGCTGCCTCCCGAGGGTGTGAGAGGATGGGTGGAGGATGTGAGAGAGTCGGGTGCAGACATGTGCGAGTCTGCAGGGCATGTGCGCGCCTGTCACGTCCCATGGCTGCTGCTCAGAGATGATGCTAGTCTTCTTCTCCAACATCTTAGGGAAAGGAGGGACTGATCTCTCCGGCATTAGACGGAGTGACTACTTAGGGAACTCAGGGTGGATGATGGGGAGGTTATTGTAACGTGGGACAAGCACCAAGGATAACAGAGGGTGTGAAGGATGCAAGGGGGGTGTGGGACTTGGGGTAGGACCATTAGCCTTCCCTGGCAAGGCAGGATGAAGTGATTGAACAAAAACGTCCCAGAGGATGACCCAGGACCTATGAGCAAATTCAAATGTGACATTTTTTACATCAGAGCCCATCATGTCAGTTGTGCATTTCTATCACTTCAGACCCAAAGGAAGCCAATTGCCAACAACAACTAGATAGATAGATATAGATGTAGATATAGATATAGACATAATAGATACAGATATATGGAGCCCTGGTGGCATAGTGGGTTACATGTTGGGCTGCTAACCACAAAGTCAGCAGTTCAAAACCACCAGCTGCTCCTCAGAGAAAAGATGAGGCTTTCTATTCCTATAGAGCTATAGTCTTGGAAATCCAAAGGAGCAGTTCTACTCTGTCTTATAGGGACACTGTGAATTGAAACTGATTATATGTATATACACAATCAGTTCCAACTCATAGTTATATATATATGTATATATAGAGAGAGAGATGTATATACACAATCAATTCCAACTCATAGTTATATATATATAACTCATAGATAGATAGATAGATAGATAGATAGATAGATAGATAGATAGATAGATAGATAGATAATATTCATCCCTTTGGTACTGAGAAATTAGACATTCTCAAAGTGGGGTTTCCTGTCAAGGGCAGAGTGCTGACGGGCCTTCATTCAATATGTCAAGAAGCTGGCCATGCAGGGGTCTATATGTTAGCCAGCTCTCTTTGTGGTATCCCAAGTCCACCCAGTCAAATCTTATTCTGCCCCAGCAGTTCAGGACAGAATATTGTCAACTAAAATGCATGCCCATATGCAATACGGATGGGAAAGCATTGTCTAATTTTTGTTGAAGACCAGCTAGGTGCCAAGCCATCGGTTAGGTTCTGTGGGCTATTTTATCTCATTGACTTGCCACTGCAACTCTGCGACTCTCAGGTTATCATGGCTTATTATCTTCAGGTAAGAACATTCAGAGATGGTTTTTAAAATCACTCTCCCAAAGTTCTGGGGACCCAGGAGGGGCCACATCCAGATTCCAACCCAGGTCTTTATGTTTCTACAGACTCTACAGAGACAGGGGAGCTATCCCTGTGGAAGCCTGGAACTGAGGCTCCGGAGGGAGAGACTGAGCCTGCAGCCTGACAGGCACTGAATTCATTTCCTCCCATGGTTATTGTTTTAAAAGTTCAATCTTAGCCTCCACGCTTCTTGGCTGAAATAGTGAACAATTTAAGTCATCCTCTTTGTGAAGAAAGCCACTGCAGACTCGGCTCTGGCAGCACCAGAAGGGCAGAAGGTTGCTGTAGCAAGTTTCCCAACTCAGATTTCTTCATCTCAGGGACCAAGCTGGGGGTCCTGACACTCCCCAAGTCAACACCCAAACAAATCTTCTTCTCCCCAAGCAACCATCAACTAAAAAGGCACACCCATACCTTCCACTCTTTCCCTAGAAGCTCCTGACTAGCGCAAACAGTTAAGCACTGGGCACTCTCTGAGAGGTCAGAGCCATGGAAACCTTATGGGACAGTTCTACTCCAGCCCACACCTGGAGTGGCCATGAGCCCAAAGGGGCAGCAATTGGCTATTCTCTGCCTGCATGCTGCCACTTCCTATTGCATTTTGTCTCCATCGAGAGCCAGGTGATGTGTGGCCAAATGGTATCCAAATACCTGCCCCGCTCTCCTACACCTTGAACAAGGAGGCGAGGGGCTGGGAAGTGGTCCCTGGACCCCCTGTAAGTTCCCCAGGGCATTACCTCCAGAGGTTCTCGGCGTCTTCAATGGTCTCCGGCAAAGCCTTCCCCTTGGTCTCTGGGAGAAGCAGCGTCACTCCGCCAGCCACCAGGCCCAGGGCGGCTGCAAAGGGGAGAGAATGCATGCGAGCGATCAGAGCACGGCAGCGCCATCCGCAGAAGTCGCCACAGCTCGGTGACGAGGGCTCGGAAAGCAAGAGCGAGAGACTGTGTTGTAAGGAACCTCAAACCAAGAAAATGCAGGCAGCAGGGCCTCCGGGGAGAGCCAGAGTGAAACAAGCAAATACTAGCCTGATGGTACTTCTCAATAACCGTCGAGATGTCTCAGAAAACTTAGACCAAGCCAGTTACAGTATTGTCAAGCAATGCTTAAACAGGGACATTCGCTGATTCAGTTACCTCAAGAACATGCAACTCAATTGTGACTGGCTGCAATAGATAGATAGACTTGTTTGTTGATCAATCAATTGATGGATAAGAATAGATCAGTGGTTCTCAATTTTTCTATTGCTGTGACCCATTCATACAGTTCCTCATGTTGTGGTGACCACCCACCCCAGCCCCTAAAAGTATTTCGTTGCTACTTCATTTTGCTACTGTTATGAATCAGGCGACCCCTGTGAAAGGGTCATTCGACCCCCAAAGGGGTCGTGACTCACAGGTTGAGAACCACTGGATTAGATAGATAGGCAGAAAGATCAATAAGGAGGCAGATAAAAGACAACTGGGTGAGTTGGTAGGCAAGCAGACAGACTGACAGGTAGATAGGTAGTTAGATAAGCAAACACATAGATAAGGAGCTAGGTAAGTAAAGAGGTCTCACTCACTCAACTCGCTGCCATTGAGTCATGCTAATGCATAGCAACCCTATAGGACAGGGCAGAATGCCCGGGTGAGTCTCCAAGACTGGTACTGTATACGGGAGTAAATAGCACTGTCTCTCTCCTGAGAAGCGGCTGGTGGTTTCGATAGGTGGACCTTGGGGAATGCAGCCCAATTTGTAAACATTAAGCCACCAGGGAGCTCAGGACAGACAGTTAGGATAGGTAGATAGGCAGGCAGATAGACTGACAGGTAGAGAGATGAGTAAACCGACAGGTAGGTTAAGTATGTAGGTAGGTATGTGGGTGGATAGATGAAGTCAGATGTACAGATGAGAGAAGAGACAGGAAGGCAGTAAGGTAACGAGTGGGAGAGATGATTAAAGAGAGAGCTTTAGAACAGAGGCCACACACCTGTGCGGAGCACACCCCCCCCCCCCTTCTTTCTTCTGTTCTCTCTTTCTCCATCCTCTCTCCCTCTTTCCCTCCTTCTCTCTCCCTCCCTCGTCTCCTCCCTCCTTCTGACATTAGCCTATGCCCAAGCATGGCAAACCTCCACACACAGTCAGCCCTCCTGCCTCTGAACGGATGAGTCAGGAGATTCTTGAAGTGTGGGCCTGGGGGAGGGGTGGGGTGGAGTAAGGAGCCCTTCCTGATACAACTTTATCTCCAGGAAAGCAGATACTGTACTCCTATTTCCATCTGTTCTCAATTGTCCAGAACTATAAAGTAGACAGGCAGGGTGATAATTTAGCCTCCTCGAGCCTGCAGCAATGACTTGTTAAAATGGACAGGAATTGGGAGGCAAGTTCACAAGGAAGCCAAGAGGTCACTCGGATTCTCTCCTGTGTGACATCAACCTTTGGGCTGCCTCCTAGGAGAGTGTCTCATCTTCCCACAAGGCACCACAAGCCAGAGTGACTCATGGGACCGCTGAAGAGCGAGCACCATCTTGCTGCCGGACGCTCGCGAGGCGCTACTGTGTTCATTCATTCTGTGCCAGGCAGAGTGCCTGGCTGGAAAGAAGGCATAATAAATCTCCCCGTGGAGTCTCACCGAACAACATGAGAGGCAAGTCTTGCCAAACCTCCGTCAGCCGGAAGACAAGGAAGGGAGTGATGATTCCACCCACGTCACACAGGGAAGAGCACACCATCACTCCAAGGTTCCTGAGGAAAGAAGGAGAACAGCAACGTCTCGAGTGTCGACCTGACCCGAGAGCCGCGGTTCTCCACCTACACACATACATACAGCTCCTCATGTGGTGGTGACCCCCAACCATCACATTATTTTCGTTGCTGCTTCATCACTGTCATTTTGCTACTGTGATGAAGCGGGCGACCCCTGTGAAAGGGTCGTTCAACTCCCAAAGGAGTCATGACCCACAGGTTGAGAACCCTGCCCTAGAGCATTACTGGGTTCAGAATGAACACTGATATGGGCCAGCCCACTGTCTGTGCAACTGAAGGAGAGTCTGCCTTTGGAAAAGGAATCACTCAAAATACCTAGCTCTCAAGCACTTACTTCCTGAAGACTTGCCACAAGCTTGGCAAACATAATAGGGAAACATCCCTGTAGTCTCAATTCTACCCCACTCCTGATCCCAATATCACCCGTAGGAGAGCCTGACATCTGAGGGAGACTGGGTCTAATGGGATCTGGGCTCATCTCAACCCTGGGATCTTGGGAGTGGGGTCAGGCCAGAAGGACACCCTTGACCATTCTGCACCTGACACTGATGAACCACTTTAGCACCTCAACAGCCACCAGGTGACCACTAGGGAAGGCACCTGGGGAAGGAAGGTGGACTAAAGAGAAAGACGGTGATCGTCATAGGAGTGCAGTGGTTAAGCTGCGATGGTCCATCAGTGGAGTGCATTCATTAGGGCTTCCTTGTGGAGCATTTTCTGCTTCATGGTAACCAGCCAACCTATGCCATTGAGGCATCCTTTCGGGCACCAGAGAACTGCTTCCTTGAGTTTCCAGGCTATAAAATGCATAGAAGCAGACCGCCTCGTGTTTCTCCTGCAGAGGAGCTGGCGAATTCAAACCACTGATCTTTCGGTTAGCGCCCCAGCGCTTATTCTACAGCACCACCAGAGCTCTTTACAGGGTTGTTGCTGTTGTTGTTGTTGCTGTTAGGGGCCATCAGACTCAGTCAGTGTGTACAAGAGAATGGATCGCCACCTGCTCCTCTGTAAGAGCACTTGGGCTGCCCTTCTTCCAAGGCAGACTGCTAACTCTGGCCCTCCGAGGTACTTTCCATAGTCTTCACAGCACCACAATTCAAAGGCATCAGTTCTTCTTCGGCCTTCCTTATTCAATGTCCGACTTTCACATGCATATGAAGTGATTGAAAATACCATGACGTGGGTCAGGTGCACCTTAACCTTCAAAGCAACATCCTTGCTTTTCAACACTGAAGAAGGTCCCGTGCAGCACATTTACTTAATGCAACGGGTCATTTGATCCCTTGCCTGGTGCTTCCATGAACATTGATTGTGGATCCAAGCAAGATGAAATCTTTAACAACTTCGAGTTTTTCTCTGTTTATTACGACGTTACCTATTGATTCTGTTGTGAGGATTTTTTTTTTTAATCATTTTATTGGGGGCTCATACAATGCTCATCACCAGCCATACATACATCCATTGTGTCAAGCACATTTGTACATTTATTGCCCTCATCATTCTCAAAACATTTGCTTTCTACTTGAGCCCTTGGTATCAGCTCCTCATTTTCCCCTCCCTCGTGTACCCTTGATGATTTATAAAGTATTATTATTTTGTCATATCTTACACTGTCTGATGTCTCCCTTTCACCCACTTTTCTGTTGTCCGTCCCCCAGGGAGGAGGTTATATGTAGAGTTTTGTTTTCTTTAAGGGTAGACAACTTAGAATGCATCTTTGCGAGAACACATGAGTTTCTGCTTCTGGGCCTGTGGGCCCCGTGTTGCTCATGAAGACTCACTGGGGCGGAGTGGGCAGTTGTTGAAGAGGGCAAGGCTGGTTGTTGGCATTCTGGTGGAGGGCTCCTTCCCTGTGACTGAAAGCTTCAATCTCTGTCTAAAGGAAATTCTCCTGGAGAGGGTGTGATGTTTGCTCTGTGCACAGTTCCTTCTTCTGTCTTGTGTTAAGTTACAGGGGGCCATTTCCTCAGAGGAGGTTGGGAGAAGTGACAGGAAGTTGTCCTTTAGGGGACTAGGTTAAGGTGACCAGACGTCCCTCTTTTGGCAGGACAGTCCTGATTTTCAACAATTTTTCCTGCGTCCCGCGGCATTTTTAAAAAGTCCCGATTTTTGGAAAGAATGCCTGACAAGCTAGAGTATACGGTTTTCGGCTGCCATGTGGGTATTTTGCAGGATATGAGTTTTATCAATGGTGTTTACCATTGTCCCGTGTTTTACCAATGTCAAAATCTGATCACCTTGGACTAGGTACTCACTGAGGGCTCAGGATGAGTAGAGAGAGGACTGGAGACAAAAAAAAGCTAGAGGCAATGGAGTCAAGGGACCATCTCCTTGAAATGACCCTCTATCCCTGAAATAGTCTTTGCTCTGAAATCAGCTCTGTCTGATAGGGATAGAGCCACCCAGCTTTCTTTTCATTCGTTGTCTCATGGAGTGTTAGTTTTCACTCTTTTATTTCTTTATTTATCTCTGTTTGTGATCTCATCTCCTAACCTTCTACTTTTCAACTGTCTCTGTCTCTATGTTTAAAATTAGTTGCTTATACACTTTTACCCAATCTGGCAATCCCCTCCTATTACCTGAGTATTTAGATCATTTATATTTCTTGTGTTAGGAAATGGTTGTGTTTAAAATCTTTTTTCATGTACTCTCTTCTTATTCTGACTTCTTACAGAGTATTTCTAATGATTTCATTTTATCTTCTTTAAAAGGTTAATAGTGATAACTCCGTTTGCTTTTGTGTCCAGGTTTATGGTGTACCAGGACTTCTTCAGCTCATGACAGTCTAGCTTCAAATGACACCACTTCTTCTACGACACATGAACCTGACAATCAGATGCTTTCGTTTCTTTTCCCTGTACATTTTTATCACATATGTTGCTTTCACATATGTTATTAATCTCACACAACACATTGTTGTTTTGGCTTTACTGCAGGGATTGACAAACTACAGCATAGCGAGGAAATTCAGCTTGCAACCTGTTTTGTTATATCCTCTGAGTTAAGTTTTTTTTTCTTTTGCTTTTTTAAAAGGCTACATAAAATGAACAAAGGATATGCAGCAAAAAAAGCATGCTTGACTCGCAGACTCTAAAATATGTGTTATTTGACCCATACCAGAAAATTGTGTACATTCCTGTTTTAAGAAGTTCATTATCTTTTTAAGTTAAAAATCAGAAGGAAGAAGGTATTGCTGTTTTCCCATTTCCTGTGTGTGTGTGTGTACGAACATTCCCGTCTGTCGTGTGTGTGTGTGTGTACCACCATTCCCGTCTG